TGGAGAATAGGGTGATGCCCTCTTCTTTGTGGCAGCCCCTGAAATATTGGAACACTGCTATCATGTCTCCCCTAGCCCTTCTTTTCATTAAACTAGACATACCCAGTTCCTGCAATCATTCCTCATATGTTTTGACCGCCGGTCCCCTAATCATCTTTGTTGCTCTTCTCTGCACTCTTTCTAGAGTCTCCACATCTTTTTTACATTGTGGCAACCAAAACTGAATGCAGTATTCCAAGTGTGGCCTTACCAAGGCATTATAAAGTGGTATTAACACTTCACATGATCTTGATTATGCAGTCTAGAGCTGTGTTGGCTTTTTTGCAGCTGCCGCACACTGTTGGCTCATATTTAAGTGATTGTCCACTAGGACTCCAAGATCCCTCTCACAGTTACTACCATTGATCAAGTTATCACCTATACTATACCTGTGCATTTTGTTTTTCTTGCCTAAATGTGGAGCCTTATTTTTTTCCATCATTGAATTTGAAATGCAATTCAACTTTTTTCACCCCTGAATTTGAAATGCAGTGATTATTACGAATTAAGGTTTAAGAGGGGCGTGGGCGCAATTCGCGAAAAGGAATCTAACGAGCCTGACATTAATCCGAATGAACTGCAAGCATTCTTTGCTCAAGAGGTCGCTCTCACTACTTTCTAGGGGTCTCCCTCCCAGGAAAGCCAGCATCCCAGGTACTCTTCCGAATTGGACGCGGGTCTTCGTCGGGAGTCTACTACCAATTTGGCGGCGGAATTGCCCGTTCGCGTTCCAACCTTGGATCTTTGGCGCCTCCAGCGTTCCAAGGACGGGAAGGGAGGAGAGGGCAGAAGTTTGATCTGCTTACCTGCCGGAAAGTCTCTTTCCACGGCGGGGTCCGGAAGCCCTTGTAAAGAGCCTGGTGCCGCGGCACCAAGCCCGCCATGGCTCCTCCACTCCCGCGGCAAAACAAACATGGGCGGGGCTTAGCCGTTGGATTTACCTGCCAAGCTCCGCCACGGCCATCCATCCTAACTAAAGCATGCCGGGAAATGGAGTCAAGCAAAGAACCTCGGCGCCCGTTGCATGATGGGAAACCCCTGGCTTCCCTGGCTTGCTATGGCAGTCACAATGTTGCTGGTGCATGATGGGAATTAGAGTTCGCGTAGACGCGAATATTATTAATTTGCAAGGCAAAACGACTGCAAAAGAACGGGGTTTTTTTTTCCAAGCCCGTGTTGGAGGGATACGAAACATGCCGCGAAGGGTGTTCTCTTTGCTGCCCTTCTAATTGTTCTCCAATTTTAGGTCTCTCTTCCCCTCTTCCTTTTCTGGGCTAGGGAGAAAAAAATGCTGTCGTGGCACTGTGATATGGTTAGATGCAGTGGGAAAAGTTACAGATTTTGTTCCCAGGGTCTGGTAATGCTCTTTGATTATATGCTATCAAATCAAGGTCAACTCCTAGGCTAGTAATGCCCCTTCTACCATGCCAACTCATGGCATTATGGGGGACATTGGAGGCAGGAATATGATGTATATACTGCCTTAAATTGTATAGTAGTAGTAGCTGAGCATATATTTGCTGATCTAACAGTGTGACAAACAACATTACTTGTCATTACTGTTCCATTACTCTTTCCCATTGAAGTGGGGATGATGTTCCAGAAAGTGGGTGCCATGCACATCTCATCCTTTTGAATTGCTCACTCAAAAACCTTCCCTCGCCCAGTCATTCTTTAATGGGTACTTTTCAATGCATTTGACAAATTCCATCACCTGTAGTTATTGGGTAAAATTGGTTTAGAGTTCAAATACACCTGGAATTACCAAGTTGAGAAAGAGATGCCTAGCAGACAGAGAAGTGCTAAGATACCAAAAGACAGGACACCTCCCTTTTATTACTATTATCTGTTCACAACAATGTGATCAGGGCCTGGTCTATTAATCTATTAACAAAAGGAGCTTTTGCAAGTGAGCCATGAATTAATTTCAAGCAAAGCACCTTCATTTTGATTACTTTATTTGTGCTTTCACTGAAATTAGCAGACAATCAGCATGCACTTTGGTATCTGTTAGCAAAGAGCTAAGAGAGCTGACTACCAAAGCTTCATATGTAACTAGGGTCAATATAGTTGTCAAGATGTGGCTTTGTAACCGTGCTGAAGAATTTTGTAAGTGAGTCATTACTGGAACAAGCAAAGGTAATTTGCAGCATTCTTAGTACACCCAGAGGGTGGAGAAGTTAGGTAATTAAGTGCACTCCATGAGCTTATTATGGGATTTTAGACTAAATTGCATGACTTCAATAAATCAGGAACAAGTGACGAAATGTGAGGAAATGTTGATGTGCGTGTATGTTCATAAAAAAAGCTGCTTGAATTTCAGCAAAAGCACTTGGTTTGGACTAGTGTACCTTTCTTTACTTCTGCACAAAAATAAGTGTGAAAATCCACTTTCCTTGCTCAGTGTGATTGTTGATTCATTATACCAAGTAAAATGAACTAGTGTTGGGCTGGGCCCAGAGTTAAATCACAGCTGCTGGCTGGCGTTGGCCTTCATATATATCAAGTTCTTCCCAAGGTTCTTATTTAGATTTTTATCTTGCCTTTTATATATTTTGGTCAATTTAAAGCAATAAATATTGATAGTCCTCAACTTACAACAGTTCATTTAGTGACCAAAGTTACAACAGCATTGAAAAATGTCCTATGATCATTTTTCACACTTAAAACTGTTGCAGTATCCCCATGGTCACCTGATTCAGATGCTTGGCAACTTTCCTATGAGCAAAGTCAATGGGGAAGACAGGTTCACTTAACGTGTTGCTAACTTAACAACTGCAATGATTCACTTAACAACTGTGGCCAGAAAGTTAAAATGGAGCAAAATTCACTTAACAAATGTCTTGCTTACCAATATAAATTTTGGGCTAAATTGTGGTTGTAAGTCGAGGACTATCAATATTTATTGCTTTAAATTGACCAAAATATATAAAAGGCAAGAT